ACATCAATTTTTAGTTTTTATATATTTTTTCAACCAAAAAAAAATCACAAAAACCAAAAAATTGAAAAATTAATTTTTAACCAACTTCTCAATATAACCCTTATTGTATCTTGTGATAGTGTTATTGGACTATCTTACCTAGTTAAATGTTCCATTTGATATAATCTCCATGATATATATACATTATATTTTCATTTTTCATACATAGACAAATCCCTAATTTGATATGGGACACTTACCAATAAGTCCCATACACAAAATTCAAATCCATCTAATCCCAAAATAAAATACTTGCACCAATTAATTCTACATATTTTTAATTGTTACCAAAAACTCTCCTTTTTTTTTATTTATTATTTTTATCACTTTAAAAATGCTGCTACATCCAACAACTTTTGTCAGTCTCACCGAAGACTCGCCAGAATATTCAACATCATCGTAAAGTCGCCGGAGCATCATCGGAAGTTTACCGGAGTGTTTTGAGCATCGCCGAAAGTTCGTCGAAGTGTTCTGAACATTACTGGAAAATAGCAAGAACATCATCGAAGACTCATTGGAATATTTAGAATATTGCCGGAATAAATAAAAAATAAATAAATAAAGTGGAGAAATTATAGTTAAAAAACATAACAACGACAAACAACTAAGAAAATAATTTGTAATATTGATCAAACTAAAAAGTAAGTTTTGAAACTGTAAAATGTTACAGTTTCAAAGCATTATTCTATTAAGCTGAAAAATATGTTATGAAACTGTAAAATTTTACAATTCAAAAGAATGTTATGAAACTATAAAATTTTGCAGTTTTAAAGCATTATTCATTTTAGCACCAAAAAAAGATGAAACTGTAAAATTTTACAATTTTCACCGCCCGTAAGTAAAACTTAAAAACAATTTATTCAAAACTTAAAAATTGTCTCCATTAAAATAGGAAAATAGACGTGTGTAACAAAGAAAATGTAGAAAAATTGAGAAATCGAAGGAAAGAATAGATATAAAAAGAAGATTGTACTTCGGTAACTATTTTTTGTTTAGATCTAGTTGGATCTCATGTGGATCTACTCATCTTTTTCGCTGTCAGTGATGATGAGGTAACGAGTTGATGTCGATGGTTGGTGATTGCCGGTGAACCCTAATCAATGGTGGTCATCGGTCATCGGTGACTATATATTAGAAAGAGAAAGAGAATAAGGAATGTGTGATCACCAGTCGTCGGACATGACAAAGAGAATGAGAGGAAAACGCAAAAAGAAAGGAAAAAAAAAAACAACAACAACAACGTAGAGAATGAGAAAAAATGCACAGAGAGAGAGAGAGAGAGAAGAGAGGAAAGTGTAAAATTTTTGGATCTACTCAAAAAGTTGATGGATTAAATAGTGTATAAATATTTCAAACATGACCTACTGGTAATTTGCCCTTACCAAAAAAAAGGAACAATTTAAAATTGAGAAAATATTGAGGTGCCCTCTCAACTCAAATGTGTGAATTCATCAAATCCTTTTATCACCCGAAAAATTTAAAAAAAAAACAAAAACAAAAACAAAAACAAATAAGGCCTTAAATTACAAAAATGTAGATTGGCTGACAAGATGGTTGGAATTAATTTAACTCACTAAAAGATAAAATAAGTTTAAAAAATCAATAAGAAAAAATATCACATCAAAATCATAATTATTTTATTTTTTCTTTCACAAAAATAAAAAAGTCAAAAGTTCGTCCAAAAAGATTTTTTTTTTTTCTTTTTTTTTTAAATTGAGCTTAACCAAAAAATCAAATTAAAGAAATTCTTCCCAAATGAAATCGAAGTATCACACACATCACGAAGTACATAAAAAACTAGAGGATGATGATAGGTTCGAAGTATCACACACATCACGAAGTACATAAAAAACTAGAGGATGATGATAGGTAAAGTGAAGTATCTGAACCAATTTGACTGGTTCTACACCAAACCACTTTGGACAGAGACTCAAATTCGTTTCTTTTTGCAGTCTAACCTACCGAAACTTAACTACAGATTCAAATACACAGTTGTTTCTTCAACTCTGTAAAATATTATAGCTGACGTATATAGATGATTCATGCTAAACTGGTCAAATCTAGTGATGCTATGATATTTAGTTTCCAATAAATATCTATATATATATATATATATAATGATAACATTCATAGGTGTAAGATTAATTTGTGGCCGTTTGACCCTACTTAATCTATTCTAAGTCATTTCTTGCTTGATGACCTTCATGGCTTCCTCTGGCGAGGTAGCTTTTCAATTATCTAAAAATTTGAATTTATGCAGTCTATAGTTTATGTTTGTCATTAATACATTTGTTTTAGACATTTTGACTTGAGAATCTGAGTGTGTGTGTCGCCGTTCTTTTTGTACTATATGAATTTAGGGATGAAGGGCTTCCAAATTTTTTCACATACAATTATGATTAGATTTGATTTGTGATGAAGTTTGCATTGGGTATTTGTTTTACAACAATGTTAGAGGCTCACATTTTACATCCACAAATACATTCACAGTAATGTGGCAATGGTAGCGGGTCCCATATCATTGAGTGTCTTGTCAATTAAAAATTGACAAGATCAAGGAATGTGAGATATTGGAGTTTTTATTTTTATTCTCTATTTTTTATTCGTCATTCTGATTTTTGTTTCCATTTTCTTGGGTATATTGGGGTTTTAGAGATGGATTTGTTTTTATTCTCTGTTTTTTTAATTCATCACTTTGATTTTAGTTGTCTTTACCTTTTGGGCAGAGATAATGTTTTTCGGACTTGTGTCATTGCTAGTGGTGTTACTAGAGATGTGATGCGAGGTTTTTCACTGCATGAATTAGCAACAATGTTTTGTGAAGAGTGGTTTCTTAGATATGCTAATTCTTTCATTTCCTTGTGCCCTTGCTTTCCATTGTGTTAATTGTAGTCAATTTGTAAGATCTTGAATTCTTAATTAAGTAGACAAAAGCTATACTGTTTTAGTTTATTAAATTGCTGTTCCATATTAGTTGAAGTTTGGCCTTTGAAACTAACTCGGTCTAAACTTGGTTTCTTGGAATTGAACTTGTTGGATTTTTATCATGAACAATGTTGTATTATTGGGTACTATTATAGATGCAAGGGAACAGTAATTTAACAAATATTTATAAGTTATACGGTTACAAAGTTTTATTCATTATTGCTATTTTACAAGTATTTTTTTTTTTTTAGTTAAATCTCCCAGAATTAGCAGTTAAAAAAAATAAAAAATTGACGCTAATACAGTGTTTTTCAAATGCCACTACAATGCCAACAGTTGTATTTTTAAAATAGCAAATAAGCTATCATGACGATTTTAAAGTGTCGCTAAATACTGGTGTGATGTCATGTTACCATTAGTTACCACATTTAACGACGTTTTTGAAGCGCCATAAGCCTACATCGACGGCCGCATCTTTGGCGTTTTGCGCTAAGCGTCACAAAAGGAATTAGCGACTTTTTTGAGACATATAACGGTGCTTTTAAAACGCCTCTAAAAATCTAATTTTTGACATTAACCTATTAATTATTCAATATTTATTAAATGAAAGACTATATATACCTAAAAATTAATTGAGGCAAGGCCCGGACACCCAATAAAAAGTCTTTGTTAACACAAAGATACGTTATCATGTAGCTTTCACATTAACTTCCTGTTTTGGCATGTTTCACATTGAAAATTACAAAGCATTAAATTGGGGGCCATGTTACCATTATTACTCTATGTAGAGAGAAAGAGAAAGGATATAGTACAAAACCTCCGAAGCCAGCTCAATCCTAATGAACAGAAAAATCCAGAAAATACATCAAATCCGCCTAAAAAGAGGGTCATTGTCCCAGTCCACACTTGGCCCAACCCCAATATATGGATGGACCAAGACGGTTTATATAACTCAATCACACCACACAAATGGTGCTCATGACAAACAAAATAAAGCGACAATGCACTAAAGACACTTTCAATTAATAATCATGACAAAACTAGTAGAAATTTCAAAACTAAATGTTATAGGATTCTCTAAAGTTTCACAATTTAGATAACTAAACAACTAAGATCCTACTTGACCAAGCACTGAGATTTAGCTTATGATGAGTTTTCACATTTCGCGGCATGAACATGCAAGCTACAACCCAATAAAGAGCTGTCTTTGTTTGAATGAATATTGATATCTTGACGATGATGATGATGATTTTGACACTGATGAAACTTTTAAAGGGCAATATCTTGCTTTGAAATTTTACAATGGCATGTTAGCTAGTTTACGAAGATGATTCTGCATGCACTTAACTTCAATGAAATTAGAATTCATGCACTTAACTTCAATGAAATTAGAAGTCACTGAGGGAGCAAAGACTTCTTGTAGTTATCTAGGTCAAGTTTAGTCTTTATTGATACTGGGGACCGGTGGATAGGCTATGGACTTGATTTAACATAATTTGTTCAGAGTGGTTGTCTTTAGGTTCGCAAATTCACAACCTCAAAATTAATAAACAGTGTTTTAATCACAAAATCAGCGATCTATGGATAGAACAAAAACATCTTGTCTGCAATTTAGCTTAATTTGTTTTAAGTAGTTAGTTGTCCCATATTCGAAATCACAACAACAAAATTAATAAGCCTAATCAGTGATTTGTCTGTAAGTAGAAAATTTTATATGTAAATCTACCATGGAAAATGGCACTAGTGATTATAAGAAGTTGAATACCCACTAATATAACAATGCATATCGCAGATATGACCATTTCAAATAGAAGAATTGCACAAATACCAACAAGAACCTTCATGTACAATTCTCCAAAACCCATCAAGAGAAAGTATAGACAGAAGGAAAAGCTAAAAAGAAAAGGAAAAATAATCCACAACCCACTCAATGCCCTACCTACCTAATATCATTTTCACCCTCACTAATGTAACATTTATAGACAATAAGAAAGAAGAAACAGAGAAAGCTATATAGTAAAAAAAGAAAAAAAGCTTCACACACTTCTAGCCATCATCTCTTGGAATCTCCTATAGGACTCTTGTTTCTCCAACATGAACTTCTCCTGGCAGCTTGCAATGAACATGTCTGCTAGCTTATCAATCTCAATCTCATTGATATCATCAGCACCACCAGAATTCTTGTGAACCACCTTCTCTTCAAGCCATTGGAGGTACCCCGGCAACTGTGACTCCGCTATGTCATCACAATCTTTAGAAACAATAGAATTCCGCGTGGAATCGTAGTACACATCCATGTGGCTTGTGGGGAACCGGTCTAGGACGGGCGATGCCACGGGTACTACATGAGAAGAGCACCAATTGTAGTGTAGTCTAAATGAACCAAAGAAGAGTTTGTTCTTCTTCTTCTTCTTCTTGAGGGACTCAGTGAATTGAATGAGTTGGATACCCTTGAGAACTTGAATGAGAATGGACTTTGCCTTTGCGAGAGCACGAGAGAGGCGGCATAGGTGGGACAAGATGAGAGAGTGGGCTAGGGTTTTGAGCTTCATGAAGGTTAAGGTTGAAGAAGAAGAAGGTGATTTGAGGGAGTGGAAGATTTTTAGATGAGACGGGCCAGCCATTTTTGTGTGTAGTATGTAGGATAGTAATATTATGTATATGTCTCGTTGTTCAAATGGATATATAAAGGAACTTGATTACCAAATTGCCACTGGATAGTAGGTAATTTAAATAAAGTGCCAACCACTTTGCATTCGCAGATTGTGATGAATATGGGAAGACTTCTTTTTTTTTTTTTTTCTAATGTTTAAAGCTTATGTTTTTCTTGGGTTTAGACTAGAAAATGACTTGTACATGCAACTTTTGTATTAATGAGTTGTTTGGTAGCAGGCAAACCTCTGACTAATAAGATTTTCCAAAAGAAAAGGAAACACCAAAAATGCTTGAGATGACTAATTATTAGTGGTAGCTCTAATGATATGGCAGTGGGCTCTACCCACTGTCACAGTGTTGCTATGCTTTTTTTTTTCTTTTTTTTTTTTGAGGTTACCACATCAGTAGAGCTCTTGTCGGAGCTCTACTATTAAATGTCCCTAGCACTGCCGAAGAAAACATTTCCTACAGTATGAGAACAACATGCATCCATATAATTTGGCCAACAATGTTAGGTATCGTGAAAAATCTTTCATGAAAATAATCATGAAAGTTTTGTGACTCTTGGATTACACTTAGAATAAAGCACTACACACTAATCAAGGTAATCCAATGATCATATATCTTTCATGATTATTTTCGTGAAAATTTTTCCATGATTCCTAACTTTTCTCTAATTTGGCACCACCACTGTCAGGACTAACATAATTAAAATCAACAGCAGACCGCTGCTTTAAAACTAGAGAAAGATACACTAAAAGTTTCAACTTGATTTTTTGATTTGATCAGTATAAGGTAAGAACTAATGCATATATAAGAGAGAGAGAGAGAGAGAGAGAACTAATTGGGATTAATAATAATAATGCATATCCTTCTTCAACTAATTGGTATAGAGGACTAGTTCATTTGGTCAAACTCTTTATACCTTATTAAGTCCTTCCCAACTTATTCCTATGTGGAAAAAAAAATGAACGTACACTTCTTTGTTAGGAACAGTTGAAAATGTCAAAAATGTATTCAACAAATAATTAATTACTCAAAGTAATAATATTGTTTACGTTTTTCCTTTTTTCTCGATAAAAATGTTGTTTATGTTAGACTTGCTGGTGATATACATTGTTAGACATTCTTAAATAATTAATTGTTCACTTTAATGAAGTTTCTCCATATTTATGAATAATCTATTAATGATTGATGAAAATAATAATTGAGTAAGCATTTGAAAGGCCTTGCTTGGACTATGGGGGAATTGGCTAGATTTCAACAAGAAGCAAACAAGTCCGAAAAAGTTTACTAATTGTGACCGCTTGAATTTTTTGAAAATTTTACAACTTTCATTTCACTGTAATTCAAAAGAAGAAACGGGGTCAAATTGGGAATGTGGTGGTCCATGCCATGACCAAGAGTAGGAAATGAAGAGAGAGAGAGAGAGAGAGAGAGAGATAAAAAACTAGTCATAAGCTATGCTGGCAGAGCAAAGCCTTACTGTTTATAAATATCCGTCCATATTAAAGAGTCGAAAACTAAAAAAAAAAAAAAAAAACAATTTTTTTTTGGGACCAATCCCCCTGTGACACCTCACTGGGGGTCGACCCCCATTGGGGTAGGAAGCATTAATCGTTTGGGAAGATAGTTGGGTTTTTATGTGGTTGGATGTGATGTTTATGAGAGAAAAAGTGAAATGATTATGGGGTTGGATGTGATATTTTGTTTGGATATGTTTTTTTTGATTTTGTAAAAAGTTTGTCTTTTAGTGGAAAAAATGAGAAAAAAATTTGGAACCTAGGTTCCCAAACACCACCCTAGTAGACTTGCACCACCATGAAAATAAAATTATATTTCTATTGTTCCACTAAAAAGCAATTTCCCCATTAAAGTATCTCACGTTTGGTTGATGAAGATTATTTTAAATTTGAAATGGTAGAAAAGTGGGGTACCGCATTACCAATCTAAAATGAAAATTAAGTTTTCTGCCGCCAATAGGAGAGGTGTAGGGTTCAAAGCTCTACTAGGGCATGAATAACTCTAAAATTTATCCAAATGAATGAAAGATAACCAAACCAAGCCAAGCCTTAAGTCCCATCAACTGGGGTCGGCTACATGAATCTTTCTTCTCCACGCGGCCCTATCAAAGACTATTTCGTTAGTCAAATTAAGTAGATCTATATCTTTATTTACAACGCTAACCAACATTAATCTAGGCCTACCTCGTTTCCTAACACTTCCATCTGCTATTACAGTATCGCATCTCTTCACTACTGCCTTTTTTGGTCTCCGTTGAATATGGAAGCCTTATGAAAGGTTACCTGTGGACTTTCTTCCACTTCCTTTGAGGGGACAGGCCATCATAGGCATGTCCCGAACAATTCTTATTTGTTTTGAGAAGGCTGTCTATCATCGGCCTGACTTAAGCCCTGGGCAATTTGGTTTGGAGGAGGATTTTCAGAACATCAATCCCTTACCTTATGACATAGTCAAAGGTCACAAAAGGGTATATAAGTGAAAGTAATATCAATTATGCCACATACGACTCACACGGTGAGGAAACAGAGATCCATTCTCTCACCTCATTACTTGGTTTCTATGAATACATGCTACGGTGGAGTACCTTTTCCAAAGAGTGAAGTCATACTCAATACACTGTACAAATCTTAGTCTAGTCACTTTCTAGTGCCTATCCCGAATTCTCTATTTCCTCGCCTTCCAAGCGCCGAATGAGATCTCGTATATGGCTAATCATAACAGGCATAACATGAAAAGTGGGTACTAACTTCCATGTTTGGTTTTTAACACGATCTCATCTTGGTTGCAACCAAAGCGACATACATAGTGGATAAATTTAAGCCTCTCTTGGCTCCAAATAAAATAAACCACTAGTCTCATCGTTTCTCGCTCCCAAGTGCCAAGAGTGCTTGCTCGTGTGAGTTAGCTAATCTTGCCTGCTGACATCATCATCTGCTAATCATTATGACACAAACCGTAATAGCATCAATATCCCACAATCTCACAAAAATAAGTGATCGATTGAAAAAACATAACCACAATTTGCGCAATTCTAGATTCCAAGCATAAGCTCTCTTAGCACCTCTTGCAATAAGCAAATACAACGGAATCCAGTATGTGCGCCCCACATGAAGTGATTCAAGATCGCTACCTCTTGCGCAATTACCTCGTTAAAGATATTTTGATAACCAATTTGCATTCATTCAAGATGCGCCCAACTAGTGCATTGAATCTTACAGGGAGCAAATTTATACAAAACTAATAGAGCATCCTATCCACTATCTAATGAGCAAGTTCAATGTCTAAACTACTCAGTTGACCATTTACGAAAGATAACACTCCCACAAAAAAAGAACAAGGAATATAGCTCATCTGTTTCTCCCATAAGCAATCTGATGATTTACTCAATAGCTAAGGCTCTAACTTTTATCGATATATAAGTCAATGAGTTTGCAATTTTGCATCTAGAATTATTCTAGGATATTCCTTATGTAAGTCATCAAAGACAAACCCAGTATTCTCCTAGAGCAATCCCTAAAGATTGTACATCCGAGCATATAAATTACATCACCCATGTCTATCATGTCTAAAACAGATGACTACTAAACCTAGGTGACGACAACCCTATAAATTCTTCGCTCATAATGACTAAGTAAGGAAAAACTTCTTTTGGACCATTGATCATGCCTTAGTTGTCACGACCCAAACCCGTCCCTCAAAGGTTGGACCATAACCGGCCTGTACATAGGCCTCATATATGGGGCCTTAGGCGGAAGCAATATCAATAAAAGACAACATCCATTGAGCTTGTGCATACATGATGGTTTAATTGGATTTGAGCATTTAAATACATTCCAAATATACCTATACAATCACAGATTTTATATAGATCTCACACACTCTTACATAAGACTTAATAATTTATAAGACTCCCAACAATAAATTAAGGCCTCCACGTGGAGACATACCCCAGGTGACTTGGCAGACAAGCGAACCTCAGTATAACTCAAGTGTCAATCCCCGATGGCTCACCTACAGAAATATACATAAAATAGAATGAGCAAGGCTCAGTGAATAATAGCAACTTAAGAAGGTTAATTGAATAAGCAAAACCTTGGATAAAATAAATAGACAGATACCAACCATATACAGGTCTTATCCATAACTATATTTCAATACGGTCTCAGGTTCACATAAAATACAGAACAGCCTCGGGCCCATATATAATACGGAACGGCTTTAAGCCCGCAGATATGATACAGATCGGTTTTAAGCCTAGATGCAATACAGAATGGCTTTAAGCCCACAAATCTTACAGAACGGCCATAGGCCTAACAGATACAGAACGGCTATAGGCCTAGATGTCACAGATTGGCCATAGGCCCAGTTCACATATGTATGGACTCAAGAGGTGTCTCGCACGGATTCTAGAGGTGACTCGCACTGCAGCACTTAGTTTCATACAGTACTTTGTTCCATACCAGAAAACAATTAGGTCTTAAAGACCAAACAATTCCTATCATGTCATAGCATAAATGGAATGAATAAACAGAACAGAATAACCCCAGACTCATAGGAATACCGTTCACAATAGTGCACATAAATTTTCCCATGGTTTATCACAAGTTGACGTAGTTGTCTTACATATAACAAATCATTAACAATAACTATTAACATATAAAGCAACACATAATTCTATCCGATTAGCCATTTCGATGATCCATTGTAAGATATTCAAAACATCATGTTCTTAGTAGATGGGGCTTATATTCACAATTTCATCTTGTCGACATTTTGTACAGTATTAATTCATGCAGACACATAGGCAATCTACAGTTTCCAATCATTTATAACAGCTAACGTAATTAACATGCGAAGAACAGAGCGTTAATAATAAGAATTATTAACGATAGGTAAATGTACAACTACAGTACTATTACTCACAGTGGTAGGTCTCTGATAGCGG